CAAGGCCAGGTTGGATGGGGCTGTGAGCAACCTGGTCTGGTGAAAGATATCCCTGCCCATGGGAGAGGGACTAGATGACCTTTGAAAGTCCCCTCCAATCCAAACCATTCTTTGATTCTATGATTCTACCAGGATCTAAATGATCTGGTGTTTAAACCATTAAACTCTAGTCAATAACCATGCGGTAGTGTTTTAATTGAGTGTGATTTCAAGTCCTTCATCAGCAATGTTTGTAAGGTAATAGAGTGACAAAGAACTTGGCAGGGAGAATAGACAGGGTGTGCTGCCTTCTTTGACACCCTAGTTCAAAGGAGGGGGTGGATTTCCACTGTAGAGATTTCCCCACATATCAGAAGAAATCTGGACTCCATATACTATAAACAAACACTATTAATAATAACGTTTAAAAAAGGAGCAATCCTATGATTTTGTACTTTAGCATTGCCACTGTTAAAGTTTTCTGAATGTGGACCTCAGTTGTATGCTGGATATTAAAGATTTATATTAAATCCATAATTTTTTCCTTTATAGTTTAATATTTGCATTGAAAAGAAAAAAAATAAGATTGGACAAAGACACTAAAAAAATCAGCTTGTGCCTCTAATTATTAGAGAACAGATCTGCAAGTTAAGCATGCCTTGTAGCTTGTAATTTTCAAATATCAGGAGCAGCAAATGAAGGCTGATAAGGCTGCCTGCTGGCCAGGGCAGTAAGAGCTTTTCTCAGCTAGAAGCGATTCCTCCACAGAGCAAATCCTTCCCTCCCTGCTACAGAATAGAAGAGGAAATAAATAGGTCAAGCTTGTGGTGCTAAAGCACTCTGAGTTTGCAACCACAAATAAAATTAATTTAGAACTGTTAAACAGAAACATATTTGAAAAATTAATACTTATCTTTTCTGTTTTCCCAGGTTTTCCTGGTGCTTTTCCTGCTATGAGTGCTTCACTGTGTTCTGATTGAGTGTAAAAAACAAACCAGCACCAAGAACTGATTAGCAACCCTACAATAAAAAACAGCAGCCTTGCAGGAAAAAGGGAAAAAATCATCTGATTTAAGTTTCCAGGGGAGCATTAGGAAAATCTTACATTAAAACTATTTTCTAGAAAACATTGAAAATGCAGCAACACTGTTTCTTTTTAATTAGCTACTGTGATCTACCCCCCCCGCCCCGCTGAGTCTACTTGCCTAGGCTCTCAGGGAAAACGAGGAGACCCCGATCTATGTGCAATTCGTAGACTGGATCCTTCTCCCCACTCTCCTTACACCATAATTTTATAGTTGGCTTGCCACAGCAAAGGTGTACTTACAAAACAAATTATATATGTATAGTCACAACAATTAGAACTCTTTTCCATTGTGTTTCTAGACATTATTAGAAAAGGGAACAAAAAACTTTGCATAAAATATCTTTCTCCACACTCAGAGAAATTAACTGAATTAGGTGGCACAACATAAAGTTTCTATTCATGAAGGAGTTATTAATTTTACAGCCTTTCCAGCTCCTTTGTGCTCCCTTTTTCAGTGGTATAAAAAAAGATGTAAGCAGGTTATTTGGGTTAGAGTAAAAAAACCATCACAGCACCCTCTTCCCTAACATTTGACCCAGTCCTGAGGACAGCTTAGCAGAAAAAGAGACTCTGATTTTTGGACTTTATGTACTGCACTTGGCACATCGGGAGTGCGCTCTGCTGGGGCACGATTTTGGAAAGGGGTCAGCAGACCCAGCTCGGGCATTCACAAATTGCATTGCCTTAAGTAACTCATTTGTCTTTTGTACCCCATATTTTTGTAATGAAATACCATACCATATGATGTCATTCTCAGCAATAAAACGTGGGGGAATTGGGCTGGGGTGTGTGTCCAAAATAGCCATTGCTTGGGGACCGGCTGGGTAGCCGTCTGCTGGTGGGAGGTGGTGAGTGATGGCCTTTGCATCACTTTTTCATTCTTCACTTACTAAACTTGACCCACTTTTTTTTCCTTGCTTTTGCTCTTCCAGTTCTCTCCCTGTGACGCTGTGAGGAGTGAGTGACAGGGTGGGGGTTTACCTGCCAGCCAGGGACAACCCACCGCAGCCTCAAACTGTTGTAGGCCACGGACACGCCATATGCTTGCTCTGTTCTGGCCTGCTATATCTGCTACATCTTTATCTGTTTTATTTATTATCAGAGACAGAATACAAGGCTGTGAACAGTCTTGTCCAGTACAGCCATTTTATATTCTTACATACTTACTCCAGTAACTATCTGTGTGGCATTGCTCCATTTCTGCGATTATTCCACAGTTCTTTTTCATGTCCTGATAACTGTTTTTCAGTAGTCAGTGCTAGATCCTGACTCCAGGATCTACTGAGATCAGCTTTTCTTTATATAGAAAAACATACATCTGCCTTATCAATGCCTCAGAAGCCACTCAATGCCAAATTCAGAGGAGTTTGAACAAACTTATGGGAAGTTTTTAACAAAGTGCTAGGAACTTGAGAGAAATTAAATTTTTCCTTATTTCAATAGAGGTCTACCAACAAAACATACCTCCACTTAAACTGTATTCAGCAGGGACTCAGGTCATTACAGAAAGAATATCCAATCCCTTCAGTATAACTCTGTTTTCCAATTAGTTTTATAGCTATGGTCACGTACATGTTCACCTGCTTTTCCTCATTCAGAAAATTCATTCTCCATATGGGATAGGCAGCTTTTGAACTGTCAAATACTTGCTTACCTATGCATTGTCTTTCTGTAGCTTTTGATACTCATCGTGGCTGATACAGTGGTGTTCTCCTTCGATGACAGGCAGCAAGGTGCAAATCTGGATAAAAACTTTGGACTCCAGATGTCTTTTCATGTGTTCTGACTGCAGTTTCCCAGCTGACATTGAAAGCAGCAAACAAATCTGGTTAGTTGTTAAGCTGGTTGGATTGTCCACTCCCACAACCTAAGGTGGCATCTACAGAGATCACCCACAGTCGCTTGCCCTATCAATGAGAACTACCCTGGCAATCAGGGAAAGAAAAGTGAAGAATGGATAAAGGACTTGTCTTCCTAGTGTGAATGTAAGCCTAAAGAGACTCACCCCACTGAGACCATGGTCAAGTTGGTACTTAACTCTAGATGGGAATTTAGGGAGATTATATGACATTCTCCCACCATCCCTCCCTTTCCAGCAACTCCCTGAAGACTGAAGGTCTTACAGGACCACTCCCAGAGAAACTCCAAGATAGCTGGGAAGACGTGAGGCTGTCTCAAGGAAGACCAGCACCTCCCAGTCTGCACTGATGAGGTTCTGTAGTGAGACATCCATTAACTTGAAATACTAGTTTAATAAAGATATTGGATATAAGGATAATGCTTTTCTGAAGGGAGCCTGAAGCAGTCATACTCAGGGACTGGACTGGAATGGGGCCTGGAAGGGACTGGCCTTATCCTAACAGCATTTAGGCTGAGGTGATCAGGCACTGATTACAGAAGATGTCGATAAGAGAAAGAAGTTATTTCTGGATACCTGAATCAGTCTATAGCTACAGCAAGATCTTCTCCACCTGCGCCTTAGGAGGTTGAAAGCAGGCAGAGAGCAGGCGGCTCTGAGCCCTATACTGGATCCAAGGGGGCAAATTTAATTGCGATGCTTGGATCTAGATTTGTACACACAAAAAAGGACCGACATTTATGGTCTCTCCTTCACAGGATGGGTCTGAATTTCAGTACCCTCTTAGAAGAAGAGGAACTTAAAAGTATAGTTTAATCTATGATTAGTTCCAAAGAAGAGATGAATAAACCCACTTAGAGGTGGAAGCAGCTATGGAGTAAAAACCATATCAGTCTGCGGGGATTTGGCACAGGTAAACCACTTGAGGACTGAAAGCTAAGTATCTGTATGAGCCTTTAGAGAAGGACATCAATTGCGCCTATAACTGAAGAAGGCCTTAAATATTTCAAAGGCAGGCAGAAGAAGAGAATGTGTGTGCTGTAGAAGACATACTTGGAGAACGATCAAAGTAGGCTGGGGGTGAAGCAGGAAAAAGGGGAGACTAGCCACAGCCCTTGAGGGCCATATGGTGACCCCCAGCTTTCCTTCTTCTCCCTCAAGAGAAGGAGTAATCAGGGCAGAGGAAAGAGGAGCCAGAGGGTAGAACACTGAAGTAATCTCTTTCCCCCTCATCCTCTAGCCTCTTGTCCTTATCTGCGTTTAGCAAGACAGCCTGAAAAGCAGTGAGGCTGCCCATTCCTGCCTGGCAAACAGCCTCTTAGACAAACTGCTGGTTGCTGCTCAGTTGGGAGTTTGAGGCACACTGCCCCGCACAACAGGACAAAGGGAACTTTGAAACCTAGGCATAGTTGTCATTCTTCTTCTCTGTGGAAGACGTATGCCAGAGCTTTTCTTTGGATGAGGCCAAGATGGTAACCTGGGACAAGGTACCTGTTTCATCCTCTCCTGGCATGCAAGAGAGAGAAGAAGCAGTAGATATTTGAAAGTGGAAGAGAGGAAAAAAGCACTTGGTTCCTAACAGGCTTTTGAATATCTGGTGAGACAAAAGCTGAGGCAACCACACATCTACGGCAGAGACAAGCTACAGGCTTTCACAAGCACGGTGAGAAGATGTTAGGAGCAAACGCAACTTTCAAGTGATGGGTAGCAACTAGTAAGAATTTCCAAAAATATTCTCATACCCAAGAATAAGTATCTTTTAAAAGACATCCAATGGATTTTTAAGAATAAATGTGGAGTGGAAAAATGGTGTCGCCTCCAGCCAACTTAAAATTATAAAATGCTCGTGACTCATGATTTACGGACCACCCGCTTCTATTCTTATTGAGGAGATTCTTCATTCATACAAAGCTCCAGCTAGATCACTTACTGGATTTATGCAATGATTTTGAAAAATGTGGCTTGGGTATCTGCATGAATTGGACCGGAAGGCCCTTTTTCCTGTTTAAAGACAATAATATTTATAGCTTTAAATGCTATGCCAATTGAAATGTTATAATGTTTCACAATCATGTATTTAAACACAGAAATCTGTTTATTTACCCAAACAAAACAGAGGAAATGATTCCAGCCCTCAGGTTTTGAATTCTTGTTTAAATATGTGAACATCAGTCCACAACTTAGAGATGTTTGTGTATCTATGTACCTCCAAAATACTCATATTTCATAGGCTTTTTCACATTAATATTCACCAACAGTATCACAAAAGTTCTTTTTCTTTTACATAACTGTAAGCAACAGTAATCCTAGAAACACTAGAGAAAAAAAAGCATAGCAATGTCCACAGTTACAAGAAAAAGTGCACATTACTTGGTCACAATCACAGTCATTACTTGGAAAACTATATGTAACAAGTAGATATAAAATATCACTGATGCCTTAAACTCATTGTCAAAAACGGAATTACATAAAATTTTGTACATGAAATAAGGCAAATTTAGGAATGCACAAGAAACTTGTTATTCAACAAAAGCTAAACAACAGAACAGATAGTACAGTAAGCATAAACTAAAGTACTTTTTTCTATATACTTAAAAATAAGCCTGCCGTAGTGCACAAAGAAAACACCATTAATGTGTGATCAATATTATAAAATAAGAAATAGAGGGGTTGGGAAGAGTGGGGAAGGGGAGAGAAGAGTTTTATTATAGTTGCAGCTGCATCCATTTACATTTTTGTACAGGTTTTAGCTAGGCCTGGGAATTATACAAATCGTACCAGAAGTGTCAATGACCTTCCTCAGTAAGAATTTTGTTTAAATTAAGGAAAAAAAAATAAATACACACAAGAGTGCAAATTTTCAGATTGTCACTTGCAACCTCTTAACATTCATCACCTACATCCAATCACAACTAGAGGGACTTGTATAGGACAGCAGCAGTGATCATGGAGTTAGATGAGCTCACCGTAAGAAATCAATTTCTCTTTTTTTTTTCTTTTTTCTCAATGATATGTCTTTTTTAAAAAACCCTCAACTCTTTATTAATTGCTAATAAAGCTGCAATATATTACAGAATGGAGTTGAGAATGGTATGAATGCAGGAAATGCATGCTTCCTTTGGAAGGTATTCCACAGATGACAATTTACAGTACACAGGGGAAGAATTATCCAGCATCAAGAGTTACTCGTTGTAGAAAGAATATGAAGTGGGGGAGAAGGACACAGTCAGAGGTTCAAGAGAGGAAGGGGGGACTTAAAATAGCTCCTCAAAACATTTTCAGGACCAGTGAAAAAGTTTACCAAAGTAAAAATGAAAAATCTTGAATGAAAACAAAAATCTTTTGTTTCGTTTTTTATAAAAATTACATTTTTTTAAAATACAAGATCCTTTTAATTGCAATTGTGCCCTGTAGCAACAGGACATTTGGCAACGTTTTGCCATACACTGCAGCTTTAAGTCCAATGAGTCAGTATCACATTCCACTAATATTGCACTTGGATCTTGAACCATTTTTTTTTTAAACCATCACAGCATCTTCTGTTTGCTCCACTTGTTAGAACGAGTTAATTTCTAGCCACTTTTTCGATATTTATGCTGACACACTAAAACAAAAGCAATAGGCTGGACACAGTAAAGTACCTCGGCAATACCAGAGGTCGAAGTTCACTTGAAGCACCTTAACACATCACTTTATGGATCAAGAACAGTGTGGCATTATGGTAATTAACTCTCCTAAAAGACTGTGCAGTAACTGAAGTGTGTGCTCTGGGAAATCAAAATGTCATTAGTGGAAACTCTGAGATAAGACCAGGTCAGTGTGAAGGTCACATGACTCAGTTCTGCTGCAAAATAAGGTTTTCCAGTTCATCTGCAGAACGCAATAAAAACGCGGCCGATTCTCGATACCCTGCCACAAGCTGCCGCACTGCATTTATTTCAGTTGGACTCAGCTGGGGTCTAGAGCTTGAACTACTGGAGGATCCAGAGCTGGTTGCTAACTGCCTCTTCATACTGAGATCTGTTGGACCTGCAGATAAGAAAAGAAAAGAAAAGCTTCAGATCCACGCCAGAGATGTTTCACAGGTTGGTAGCTACAAATGCAGAGTAGCAAAATCTGCTCTCAGCTGAGTGCCAGTGAGAAGTAGCAGAAACAAGCAATAACTGTTCGGTTACAAGTTGCCTTGACAGGAATCACAGTGATTTGTATTTATGTATGACAGACATCCTTTAAATTCTACTTACGTAACATGAGGAGCAAGCCCACTGCCAGCAGAAGATGACCCTCTGGGGGGTATCCCAACAGCGTAAGCCACTTGCACCCCAACACTGCCCTGGGATCTGACGCTGGCGAGCAGGCAGAAGGTTCATCTCCTGTGCCTCCCCCAGCTCCAGCTGCCACCATAGCCTTCACGGCAATCTGCACATTGCAGTTTTTATCACAGAATACCAGACTTATGTTCTCTAGATATCTATTTTCACATTTTATACTTCAATCAGCATGTGGTGGGATTGTGAATCCCTTACAGACATAGATAAATGGTCATTCACTTGACTAGCCCTGACGCCGTGTGATCACTTGTATAAATAGCTGGTCATGAATGAGATCAGGCCGGTGACAATCTGGCTGCTACTGTGAGGAGTACACTTTCATCTGGGGGGGCTGCATACAGCTGGCAATGTATCGCAAAGATCTTGTAAGGCCTGAACACTGACCAGAGAATCTGCAGCAACCACCATGATGCGTTGGCAGCTTATACCAATATGCTTAGCACTTTTCCTCAAAGAATATTCTCAAGACCATGTATGCTGCGTGCAGAAGACAGCACTCCTGGGGGCAGTCTGCAGGTTGTCTCTATCAGCGAAACCATCTGTCAGCATGAAGTTCGGCTCTGTGTGGAATTTCCCTGGTCGTTTGACCATAGTTATTAATCAGCTAAGATGTATGGTGCTTTGATAAGATGTTTGTGTAAGTTTTCCACTTAACACATTTTTTTCTTCCTGGAGTGTAAATTTGGACAGGTGGAATTGGACTGAGGACTTTTTTGAACATAGAAGGATACAGATGGCAAGTATACCTATCAGGCAGTTTGTTAGATCCAAATCTGGAAAAATATTTCTCATTTGTTTTGACAGTGTTGCAAATCTATACTTCTGGCAGGCAGATGATCAGACTAGCCTCATCTTAATACTCTCCTGGAAACTGGGATCATGTTATCCAAAGCAATGTATCTTGCTTTCCTATGAGAAAATTGTCACTGTTCAATTTCATCTGGAGTATATACATCAATGCCAAGGCCTTCTCAGCATCAACTGACTGGATGGACCTTGCTTCCTAAAAAGACTGGAATAATTTTAAAATTTAGCATATTCAACTGTCAAACACAGAACACACCCATTCATATTCTAGAGGTTCTCTGAAATAATCCCACCAGAATCCCAAGACTCAAAACCAGACTTGCTCTCTTAAGCACTACTGGAAAGAGATGTACTGATTTCCAGAAGCTAAAGATCTGATCACAAACCTTACTTATTTTTCTTTTTTTATGTTTATGCAGCGATACAGCTGAGACCACAAAGAATGTGGAGATTGCCATGTCCCCACACTCACTGAAGTTAATGAAAATCTCCCTTGAGTGAATGAAAGCAGAGCTGGGACTATGAAAAGAAACTACTCAAACAGAAAGGGTCCTATTAGATCTTGTTTCCTACTACACAGCTAGCATGAAGAGCCCTTAGCCTTACAACTGTATTATCCAGTTTTACACCGGCATAAATGAACTGACTTTTAAATGACTTTCAGTGTACAAAGGATAAATAAAAGGACAATTAGCTCAGTGAATTTGTTTCAGTGTGACTGCACGCTGCAGGGAAACAATCACAGTGTGGAGAAGCTCTGAGGATATTTCTAAGTAAAATCTTAACCCAGCGCAGAGAAGAAGGGTATACAAATCATAAAGCCAGCTGGACTGAATGGTTGTAAGAAGCCATTAAAGACTTCTATATTTATTCAGGCGGTAGTGAAAAAGCTACCACTAACATATTGAGGGCATTCTGCTCCATATGAACCTACTTTAACTTTTATGCTCTTTCCTTGACTCTCATTCATGTCACAGTCAAGCCCCCCCCCCCCTCACAATATATGGCAGAACAGAGCTTCTGCAGCACAGCGCATCTTTCTCTGAAATCAAACTGAAGGGTTTTTCTCATTGGTGATCCAGACTTTTAAGTGACTGAATATGATATTAGGTTAATTTCACTCATAAGTAGAACATACACAGAAATGTGCTTGCTTACCTCTCTTGAGGTTTTCCTTACAAAAACTGATGACACAAAGCAAAAGCACTGCTCTGAAAGGAAGACTAGGAGAAGACCAGCTGTCCAGCATGCATAAATCAGTGTAACTCCTCACAAGTCTACAGAGTCACAGCAATTTACACAAACTGAAGATCTGGCCTTGCATTCCTAGAGGTCTGGATTAACTATCATGAAGAAAATTTTTTAACTCTTCAGAATACATATCTTTGAATCCCTGAAGGTACTGGAAATAAAGTTTTGTGCAAGTGCAAATCTGCAGTCTGCATACACAAGGAACCATCAGGACCCAGAACTCCCGTTGGTCTGGGACACTTCTGCTTTATACAGAGTTCCTGTATACAAACAAAATAAGAAATCTTGGATTTTAATTTACCCCAGCTACTTCAAACTACTCGATTTTTTTATTAGTATTATTTCTATATACTCAGAAAATAAGATTTTACTTCACTCCCCAACTCCTGTCTTGTACTTAACAAGTCACAGTGCTGTCTTCCTCCTCCTCAAAGAAAAGCCCTCTGAACAAAAAAAGCAAAAAAATCCACACACAGAGAAAAGTGTTCATGGCTACGGTTTCAGGACAGCAAGTACACCCGTGCCTTTTCAGGAAGGGAAGCTGCAGGTGCTAGCAGACAGCTGAATAGAAAGAGAACAAACCATGCTTGATGTGGGGTTAAGGATTTTAGTTCTTCTTTTAATTATGTTATGTGACCCCTACACCTCACCTCCAAAGCTTGGCTATGACAGCCCAAGCTTTATATCTGGGAGAACACCTCACTCAGACACTAGTCCTGGGATGTATTATACTGGTCTCAGCTTTTAATAGCTATGATAGACACTCACTGGCAGTATTACTGATTCTTAAAGGTTGTCCAGGCTGCTACATGCTAAAAATGCTGTAACTTATCTGTAGTTTCATCAGTCATACCTGGTCATTCAGAAAATAAGGAATAAATGCATCTTATTCTTCTAATGTAGATTTTTCCTGTGTAATTTTATGCAAATCAGCTATTGAAACACGGGAACTTAAATCTTACTCGTAAATATCCACCACATTTCGTTAACAGGCCAGATAAATCACAGATATTCTGAAGGTTTAAAATAGCTGGTTAAGGTGGACACTTCATGTACCTCTATCTCCAGAAGTCATCACTACTGATGACTAAATCTGGAGAAAACTGAACAGCTTCACCACCATTTCTTTTAATAACTTTCCTTACTTTAAATAGAATTATTTCCCTAGTGTACTTAACATTATTTATTAAGCCACCAGTCTTCACAGGAATAAGGAAATGTATCCTTATACAGAAGGAAATCTGAATTTTTTTGCAATGAATTTTACAGTGTCAGGTTCCTCCAAGGTGATACTGCACATTTTAGCATACTGCTTCCTATCCTGGAGTACTTTAAGACAATTAAAAATCTTGATTGCAAACATTATTAGGTTCCGCCATGTCTGTGTGTGCAAGCAAAGATTAAGTATACCTCACAGAGATGTAGACAGGATACTTATTTTTATTTATTTCTCTTAGTGCATACTATTATAACTCACAATTGTCACCTCCCATGTTTTTATAACAGCACAACATTCTCTTAAGCAGTGGGTTAAACAAATTGCTGAGACAAATCCTTTCTTTTATACTCTTTCAGAAGACTGAAGTATTGCTCCTCTGCCTCTTGCCAAGGCCACCTGACTGACACTTTAACACAGGAATATTTTCGATTTACCACCTCAGTCCAGTCACATAGACCTAATTTCCCCTGTGAGGTGAAATTTTTCTTGTTGGAACTACATCAAGCTGAATATGAGAACTCTGAAAACCCACTTTTCATGTGCTAGACAATCATTTATCAAATTAGCTGCTACGAATATCTGCCGTTAAATACACTGCAGGACAAATGGCTTTTCTGTAAATTGCACGACTTAAATGGAACTAGTTATTGCCTCATGCACTACTCATTAGCGACATGATTTATATCAAATTCCAAAATATGGGTCAGATGTAGATATGCTGTTAGTGATTGCTTAGACACTGTCAACTGTTTCAGCAAAAATCCTTTAAGAATTGTATGCTGTCACTGGGTAGCTACCAATCTTACAATTAACAGCTACTGAAAGAATAATAAATGTGTCAATGACTCTCAAAATGGTTATCACTATTGCAGATAATAATTTAGAATAAGAAAAATAATTTTTAAAAGCTCTATGTGCTTAAGCATCTATACTTCTACATTTTAATTAATAGTTAAGCAACCTTTTTCATCAGAGAAGATGTAAAAAGCAGTGGCACTTATTTATAGAACAATACATTTGCCCATGCTTTGAAATCTCTCATGTCTATCATTTCTACTGCACCTATTCTCCTCTCCTCTTTTTTCCCCATGAGCGGCTTTAGAAGTGAGTCTGTACTAGATTCTCATACACTGCAATAAAACTAAACAGAAACAACTATCAAAATATGCTATTTTTTGCAAATCAGATGTATTTATTATTACAAGAACCATTTATGGTGATATTCTGCATCTGTCAATGTTTCTTTTCAGCCTGCCTTCAAATAGAGAGCCAGATGTGCCTAAAAGTATTGTTTCAAGTGCCAGGAGATCTCAGATCAAGAAAACAGGGACTTATGAATTGGACCTTTTAAGCTTCTTTCTCCCTTCTACACCTTTCCCTCTGGAAAACATACCTTCGGTTACTTTAGATAGCAGAAAACACTGCTGTGTTGCCTGAGGAAAGAGATGTGAAAACACAGAAACGCCTGTAGCCACTGAACATCATCCATTTTCAACAATCAACAAACACATTGGTTTGTGATGAAATGATTATGTGAGGTCCGCCAGTAATGTCTTCTATCCACCACAGGAGATTAATTGTGCGGCATACACCTGTCTTGCCTTACTGGCTGTCTCCTGAGCTTTGTGCAAAGGTAAAAAAGTAGGATACTGCCCAATATATCCATAGACATTCCATCTCCATTCCTATGGTGGGAGCAGACTCATACCTGCATATGCCATGTATATGATAATTCGAAGAGGAGGAGGAAAGGGGAAGAGGAATGTGCGGATGATCTTAATATAGAATTCAGCCAGCATTTCCCAGCGAGAAATTCCCACCTTTGCCACAACATAGGTCAAACCATTTAACCTCCCAACGCCACATTTTGCCATTTTTAATTGGGACTAAACACACTCTCCCAGGTTCCTAACTCTATCGCTCTTGTTCTGTGTCTCTTCATGCCCCAGGCTCCAGCTGTGTTAGAGACAAGCTGTTCTGTCTTTCCTCTCTCTCCACTTTGAATTCCCACTTTTGCCACAACTTAGGTCAAACCATTTAACTTCTCCCAACGCCACATTTTGCCATTTTTAAATGGGACTAAACACACTCTCCCAGGTTCCTAACTCTATCGCTCTTGTTCTGTGTCTCTTCATGCCCCAGGCTCCAGCTGTGTTAGAGACAAGCTGTTCTGTCTTTCCTCTCTCTCCACTTTGATGTCATCAGGCTAGCTCTGAGGACACAGAAGACTGTGCAAGAAGAGAGGTATGAGGAAGAGCTAGGGAGACCAATGACAGCAAAAATCCCATTCAAACCTGACGTCATGGCCAGCCATGCTGTGGGTAACCCAGTCAGCACTTTAAGAATTAGCCATACACTGGATATTTTCAGCTGGACTTTTGGGTTTTTTCCTAGTTTATTGTCAAGAAGCCTCTACTGATCATGCAAATGTCAAGATTTTACAGAAGGTTACAGCTTCACCAAATTTGAGGGTGTAGAAACGAGGCACTCTGCCTACTGTCAAATGCAAAAGTGGACAAGAGTGCTTGGCCCTCCTCTCCCTGCCCCAGAGCAGCACGGCCACACTGATCGCTGCGGCTCAGCAGCATCAGCTCCAGGAGCTTCCCCCGGGTACCCCACCATCTTCAGCAGGGCTGCACCACCTGAAGGACCAGGAGGCAGAAGGACCAAGGAAGGCTGATTTGCATGGGGGTAAGAGGCCTGGCTAAAGCGGGGAACAGCTGGGAGAGCGCAGCCCTTCTGAGCCTCTGGAAGGGAGCAGCAGGCAGAGGTGAGCGGTGTGCTGGGAGTCTGGCAGCTACCGGCTGGACCATGGGGCATTGGTGATGGTCTGCAGGCCTGCCTGTGGGAGAGGAGGCTGAACGAGAAGCCTGCCAGGGCTCAGGATATGCTTGTGGTACGAATGTATTCGGATTCGGTGGGAGGACTCACCTGAGCTGGAAGGGGACTGGACGTTTGTGGTGCCTGGGACACAGTGCTGAGTTGCGGCTGTGGTGGAGGTAGGCTGCAGATCTGTGTAGAGAAACAGAGACACAACAGCTGCTTTGTCTTACCATGACATGAGGGCATGTCCTGCATGGCCAGTCTGCCATCAAGTCTGAAATATCTTCTCTTTTTACACACACAAAGGGAAATGACTGACAGTTCTGTCTAGAAAACCAGGCAACGATGCAGAAAAACAGCCCCAAATCACCTCCAGGAAACCCAGCAATGGCAGTAGAAACACTCTCCACATCTTTTAGGGAAAATGGACTTCAGGAAACAAAGTTACTGTGGAGAGCAAGGCTCTCACAAGCCTACCCTGGCTTCAGGGAGTGCTGACAGCTGACAGTCATTGGGAGAGGGCGGACAGTGACCCACTGGACAGAAGCACATGGGGAGATGGGGCAATCCCACTCTGTCAGGAGAGGTGCAGGCAGCATGCAGGGACTTCAACAGTTTCTGGCAGCGCCAAGAGATTTTGCTCCCAACAGAGCAGCCTGTCTCCTGTCCTCACCCTCCCGCCCTCAAGCTGGGCGTCCTTCCAAGCTTGGTGCAGGTGTGATGGAGCGGGGCCAGCTGAAGCCCTCATGGCTGGCTAGGAGCTGCCAAGCAAATTTTATTTACAGCCACTGGGCTATCCCACCTTGGAGATTCTCCATTCAGTTCTGTAGCGGGAACTGCATTAGCCTTAAAGAAGAGAGCCATGAAAATTCACCCTTTTCAAAGAGCAGCTCTCCTTTAACATCTACAAGAATCAAGGACAATATGCCCAAAGGCTTCTCCCCAGCCCATACACAGGCTGACAGAGGCTCTGTCAACCCACAGATTGCTTGGTGATGGGGTGAAGTTTTCCAGCCAAGCTGCCTTGGCCTAAAGGGTTTAACAGCAGGGGAAAAAGAGACCTTGGTGCTGTAAGTCCAAGCCTTTTCCTGCTGTGCTTTTCTCCTGCCCACAACAAAGGCGAGGTCACCGTACAAGCTGTTGCATTCTGCTTGCTCATATTGAGCAGATGCATGAAGGTTTGCCCCATACAGTTGTGTGAAGAGCTAATAATGGTTCTGTAATTAGCCACGTGGAAGGACAGGCTGAGGAGGGAAGCACTGCAACAGCAGGCACAGAGAGGTCCCTGAGCCAGAGGCACCAAACAGTTGGGTGAGCAGATAGCTAAGTCTGTAAGATGGGATCAGAGTAGGGTTGAACTTTATAGGGAAGGAAATAACCAAATTAAATGAGCCACAGCATACAAAACACACGCATCAGCTGGACTACTAGATAGGAGAGCTAACTGGACATAATCATTATATTACTGTGGGGGAAGGTCCAGAAATAGGTATTCAAGCAGTGAGTTTTAGTTAGCTTCTGCAACTTCTCCTTTTTTCTGTTTTAGCAGATACACAAAACCAGACCGTATTTGTTTATACACACATCCTGACTGAGGTGTATATTTATTTTTACACTAGGAGAACATTTGTAAACGTGACAAGAACATTTGATGGGCTACTAAAATGAAAAGGAAATGCATCCTTAAATTGCTTCTTAGGTCCTGAAAACAATTTGCAAGCAAATATCCTGTTCTCGAGAGAGGGAACTCATTAACCACCATAACAGCCTTGTGCATGTTTGGAACAAGAGACCTTGAAACAGAGTAACAATTGCAAAGAACTGTCCTGTGAGGTCTGTCAGGAGGGCAATGGTTACCCCTCTCAACTGCAACTCCATCCACTCCTCAGTCTACAAATGAAAACGCAAATATCCATAGACATATCAGAGAGGACTGACAGATCGCGAAGAACTGGCCTCCAAGTCCTCCCATTTCTTCCGTAGAGAAACCTGCTAATGAAGCCAGAGTACTTCACCCTCAATAGCAAAGAGATAATTAGGTCGGCTACTGATTGCTTTTGTGTCAATGACCCTAAGAAATTGATGGACTGGCCTTTCCACAACTTTCCTAATGATCTTCCTGAAATGGCAGGTGCGTCACAAATCAGCAACCAGCTAGACTGTTAGTATCAACAACTGGTTTCCAAGAGCTGGCACAGAGACTTTCAACTCGTGGAGTTTATGTGCTTTGGACCCTGCAGGATCTCCATGGAGAAGATGGACACCTTTGCACAACACTCCAACTACGCGCAACCATCTGGGAGAGGTGCAGTGGTTTACTAGTCTGTCCAAAGTACGAGGACATATAGACAAAATTTTCCAGTGCAAGTAGGGAAAGAAGAAACGTTTGAGCATGTGACAGTATGCAAACCGTAAGCATCCACTGGTCCTTTCACCCCAGCGATGCTACTCAGGGAAATGCAGTGCACTGCAGTGACATAGAATACTTTTGCCTAAATCCCACAATTCACTGAAAAATGGCAGTTACAAAAATGTATCATATTACAAGAGGTTTGAAGGGAAGAACAAGTACACAAAACAGTTGTGATTCCTCACAGTTTAAAATTATGTAAACCAGGACAATTCTGATGGCTTCTGCTGACAAATAACACATGGGGAGCTTAATCCTACTCTTAGTTGGGTGAAAGAGCAAATGCCAACTGTTTTCAGTGGGAACTGGCTCGGATCTTCTCTGGTCACAATGTAAAAGACAATTTTAAAGTTCTGGTGCATTTTCCCAAGACTCCAGATTTCCATGGCCTGTCTTACTCTTATGAAAATATTTGATCAGAGATCATATTCAGTACCTCAAATGTGTTTTTCATGCATGTGGAAACACTTGTAATCATCATTCACTCTCTTTAAGTCAAAGACTTTTGACAACTAAAATATTATTTTTTAAAGCTTTTTGAAAACTTAATGCAAACCATTCACAGACCTTGCAGGATTATTTTGGGCCGGGGTTGGGGGGGGATGGGGGATGAAGCATGAATGAAGGTCACCAGGACACCACATACCAATAACTCCTTGCAGGCTGCAGCCCTGATAGAATTTTGAAAATTGCTTAGCACGTTGAATACAGCGGCTGTAGCTGAACAATTACCATCTTGCCTAAGTCAGCCCATGTACCTGCAGCAGACTCTCCTCAGCCAGAGAGGGATCGGCCAGGACAAAAGCCCAGGGATTTCTCTGTCCTCTGACACGTTTTTTAAACACTGTTCTTGGAGGCAAGAGACCCTCAGGCTTCCAGAGTAATCACTTTTCTCTGACAGACAGACAATACCCTTGTTATCAGAACGGGCAAACCTTTTCCTTTGCTCTGAATTTGTGTGAAATCAATATGGGGGACTATGCGAAACAAATAATGCAATTCGCTTACGTTTGTTTGTTACAAAAGCTTGCTAACATAAGAAGAAAGGAATGTTGTCTAAAATGACACCACTGTTTTTCAGAGAGGGGCATACAACCTCACGGTGACACATAATTACCTGCATAATTTTTAGTTTATAGATGGATATGCTAATTTCTCATTTAACACTTGGTATGCCAGATCCTTATCTGCAGTAAATTAAAGGAGCTAGACAGACCATGTGAGAAATCTAGGTCTATTTATTTGTGTTACAAAATATGGAGTTCAGTGTTTTCAAACTCCAGCCACGAAGATACTAATGGCCTCATTTTGTGATCAGTATGGGCGAGGACAATAATGACAGGGTAGGTCCTTATAGAGTTATGCAAATTGACTGAAGATCTAACCTGGCATTTTCTTACTCAGCTTTGTTAGAGCCTTCAGGTTCAGTCTTGCCCTATTGTGAATTAGTCCCTTGCAACTGAAAGGAGACTAGCATGCAGTGAGCAAGTATTTTGCTCAGCAGTAGCTGTTTGCAGGATTGTGTTCCTGCTTATTATCTGATAATAGCCTACGGATATTGAACCCCTTGGGCTAGCTTTCTGTACAGCAGGGGGAAACGTACACATGAGCACATATACACCCAGGCACATTTTGTAAGGAAACTCACCGCTGCTAGAAGCATCGTTGAGATTTAGCAGCCCACCTCCGAGCCCTCTGTAACTATGGTAACTGTAGGTCCCGTTGCCATTGATGTACAACACCTCCTGTGAGCTGGAAACAGCTGATGTTGAGTAAGCGACCTGGGCTGGCTCCTGTTTGTACTGCTTGTCAGCTGGAGCAGCCTCGTCCTGCAAAAACATGGAAAGGTTTTGAATTATTGTTACATTGCACGACAGCGACTTTTCCATTGTTAAGACTCCATGCTTTCAGAGAAGTGTAATACATGTTAAACAAGCACAGATGTGTTTCTGATTGACCAAATATCAGCTGAAAAGAAACAATGGAAATAAGCAAGAATATAGGTTTCCTACAAATCTGAGAAAGTTCATTTATTTGTGCTCCACAAGCCAACCATACTGTTTCTCAAAGGAGAAGATGCACCCTCTCACCTGAAGAGCTCAGAGTCTCCTGCAAAACCCAGCTCTGTCCAGAAACAGCATGGGAAAGGACAGAAAAAAGCCATTACTTACTACAGGAGTAGCACTTCTGAGCCAGAGAATCGAATCTTTCTCAACAAGACAAACCAATACAGAAGGGCACCAACTACTTCTTTGATGTATCAGCCTTAGAAATGACAGAAGGAACAGAGGAATGGAATAAACCAGCATTCCCCATGTTTTCAGAGGGCTGAGTGAGTGTCCACCCACACCAGGGCCAAGTGGTAAGGATGCCTCTACAAACGTGACTTGAAAGCATTTGTTATCTGCGTATGAGCAGCGACTCTTTGTATACCATGAGTTCCTCTCCATGCTCCCTGTTGGCCTCTTAGATGCTTGCACAACATTTAACAGGATTTAGCACAACGGCCCTCCAATTTTGCCCTAAAGGAGATCATGTTTCAGGTGAAAGTGTATTTTTCCCCATCTGCACTTACTGTAGCTGCTGCTTAGAGCACCTCACTTCCACTCACGATCACAGAATGCCCCCGTGGCAACTTTAATAACGACACAGGTGAAAAAAATAAAAGCATTAAGAGAAGATTTAATGTGTTTTAGTAGTTGGAAACTACTAGATTCTATCAGTGTGTGACTGCTCAGCCCACCACAGGCACCTGAGCGCCAGAATTTCTGATTTAGTCTGCAAATGTGTTTGAACTTTTTCTTTGTTTCTTTTAACTCGTGGACTTCTTTTATGGGCCTGATTTTACACTGTTATACACTGAATACATATATACACTGAAAATATATTTCAGTTATTTCAAATAAAATGGATCTACGGAAGATCAGTATTTAAAAAACATAGAAGTGAGAACGTTGGCAGGTCTTTTCAGAATAGTTAACTGAAAAATGATCTGTTAGAATTATCTCCCTTTTGTATAAGTTTTTGTCCATTTTATGCCTCTCTCTTCTGTGCAGCCCTTTCATGGTTGCTAAATATACCAAACTTATTAAGAATGTTATAAAATATCTCAAACCTTTTTTATAGTGTTTACCTAAAAATAAAAATGTATATACCAGTACAGAGGGATCAAATAGTTCAGTGTCCAGTCTCTGTGTTGAAACAAAAAGGGTTCTGAAGCAGCTTTCCTGTTTGCATTAAGAGCAGTAGTCAGTTCTACCTCTCAAATAAGACACTACCAACTTCTCTGAGATGAAGATATCCTTGTCTTGTAGATATTTATCGGTGAAAGAGACTTGGGCACAACTGAGATGACGCAGGAGAAGGCATATATATTATTAACAGAAATTTTAATATTTAATACAGAACACTGAACCATTAGATAATTAATTCCATAAACAATCAGGATGGAGCCTCTTGGGCACTAATATGAGCTGAGGCAAAGGTTTGCATTTTTAAGACAGCTGGCCAAACTGGCCTCCTATGCATTTTCTTAAGTAATAACAGGCTTAAACAAAGGGCCAAAATTGCAAAGTATTTTTGCCAGGAATTCAACTTTAATATCATTTACCTTTCATCTCCAAAGGTCATTGCTGTCTTTTATAAGAGAAAATGTATTATTTTCTCCGAGAAAATATTCATAACCTATACAGGAAAGTTCTATCTTGGGAACAAAGCTTAACTCCTCATCCAAATCTTTAACATTCTCAAGGCTGAGATGTTCTGTATCCTTGTGTCTAAAACTAGGCGATACTTCCTGCCATAGACTCACTCAGAGCTTCATTTTATTCTCACAAAGATCAGTAATGAATCTTCCGCAAATTTATCAAGGACTAGACCGTGTTCAAGGGGTGAAGTGCAAAGGGCACTAACTCCTATAGCTGAGCAGAGTATCTCAGGGCCTGTCTCCTTATCCTGACTGTCTGGAACCCTCAAATTTGCTGTCCCTGCATTTACATGTGCTCCAGAGCCCCTTTAGTCAGTGCACTGAAAACCAAACAGTGAGTTTCTTGCAGAGCTGATGCACTGAGCTTCTAGCAGAGCACAGCAAGCAGAGCCTGGCCGGAGGGCACAGCATGCTGTGTACCAGCCCACGTGTTAGAGCATGTGGCCAAGATGTGGGAGACCTGAGTTCTGGCTCCTTGTTGCAATATATGGTGAAGAGGCAGAAAATTTGGGATACAAGGTCTTTGCTAGCGGTGGTGAGGGGAGGACCTGAACTCAGAGCTGCCATCTCCTAGCAACCAGGCTCAAAGCAAAACTGCAGTGGGAGTTGTAGCTGAAGCTGTGCCACTGCGTGGAAAGAAATGCACAATTCATAGAGATGGCAAACAAGAAGGGAGAGTGATTCAGTTCCCGTTCAGAGAAGTGCTGCCCTGGGAGGCTTCCAGCCCTGCTCCCTTCCAGCCCTGCTCCCTTCCAGCTACTCCCTAACACAAACCTCACAAGCTGCTCTGAGGTCGGGAATCAAAAGCGATCTTTGTATTGAACTAATCGCAGCCCTGTGCGACACCGTGATGTGCATCGGGCTGGGGCTTGAGGTGGAGCCCAGGCATCCTGGTGCGGAAGGCACTCCATGGAGGGGTGAAGGGGGTTGAGGAGGATGCTGAGCCTAGGCCTCCTGGTTCTGAGTATGAGCTCTAATCTCTCAGTCACTATACAAAAGGTGGCTTCCTCTAAATATTACATTTTTAGAGAGCAGACCAATCACCTGTACCTAAATGATGAATAAGTTCCAATACATTTCAGATCTGAAATCTGTGCCTCATCTAAGTGCTTAGCTCAGTGCTTCACAATGACTAAATACAGAAGCAGGGAAGGACTTTTGGCGAGCATTTTCTGAGCAGACTCAGGTGTCAGCCTTACTGGTAGGTTTATGAACCGTTAGCCTGGTCCCAGGGGGTTAGGTGTTACCTATCACACATTCCCCTGGGATGTAAGCATTTTCCAGAAAAGTTTTTTTTCTTCAAAAGGCAAAACTGTGTCCTTTTTCCTTGCAGCCACACCAAGGATAAAGAAGCCATGCCCTTTTTTCCTTGGGGAGAGAGAACATGAATATCACATTCACTTTTGCATACCTGAGATTTATTCTGCTCAGATTCATTTTCTTCTTTCTTTTCATCTTAATTGCCTTCACTTTTAAACTAATGTAGAAATTAAACAAACATAGTGTTGTTCCAGAACTGAGATTTCTTTAATATTCGATGACAGTCATTCAGCACTTCTTCTGTCCCCCTATACTATGTTTACACTGGAAAGGCTTAATAATTTATTTAAAATGTTATTTAAAAAAAAAATGATTTCATAATAATCAGTAACAACTAACTAACCATTTATTAATATGTTTGACCTAACTACCTGGAATACACATTGTTGTAACTCGTAACAAATTTATAAAACCTGTGAAGTATGAACTAACCATTTTTAAACTACTTATAATTTACCTTTAATAAGAAGGATGAACAACATGGGGACAAAACATTTGTCCATCTAGAATTTGACTCATACTATCTTCGTTTTGTATATGGCAATGGAAATCAGTCATCCTTCTAACAATATTTTTCTTCTGAATGTAATTCTTTTTAAGAAGTAATTTAAGTCTTTTTAAGAAGTAATTTAAGTCTTGGGTGTATCATCTGGAAAATAATGGAAATCACAGAAATGCAAAAGTACCTTTTAGATATATAGAAAAGCATGCTAAAATACAAAGTTATGTGTTCACTTGAAGAAGTGGAAGCCTGAAGCACATACTGTGATCCTCGACTTGGTATATACCAGAGATATCTATGTCTCAGTTTTATGTCCAGGTCTGTGCTAGGAGAACACATTTTTTCCTTAAAAGAGCAAAGAGATACAATTTATTTGATTGTATTTTTAATCACAGAAGCAATTAAGTAACCCTCTAAGGACAGTACATACTAAGAAAAAATTTCATGAACTATTGCATAACCTGTATATTGAAGAAACCCTGCTCTGCTCTGACTGATATTCTGAGCAGCTAATGAATAGTTTAAAAGGAAATACCATCCACAGCAACGTAGATGCTATTGCAGAATGTCACGACTGTGGCACAAAGAGCGAGGCTCACCAGCAGTGTCCCAGCCTCCCGTGCCCCACGCCAGTAGAGGCACAGCATGCACATTTCTTTTCAAAAAGTCTGTCCTTCATGGAAGCAGCTCTAACAATGCCATTGCTCCCTTCTGTTCCCCATCTCCTTCACCATCACCAAAATAATACAAAAAAGTAATAGTTTGTTAAATAAAAAGCCTTGGCAAATCTGTGCTACATTGAGTTTGATCCCATATATACACAAGCGTCAGAAATTCTGTGTATTCCCATTAAAAGAGAGCAGTGCTACTGCCTTGTCTCCGCTGTTAGCAATAGGCATTGCTAACATGTAAATGTAAATCCCAAAAGGGAGTGTGCATAGAGACCAACTCATATGGACGACACTAGCCGACCATAAACAAAACTTCTGCAACAAGAACATAAGTCGTAATGTTCCAAAAAAGGCAAAGATAGCAACATGCATTCAACTACTGCTTTCATGAAATACAGTGTCTACCAGACTGACAAATTAACAACTCTGAGAATGACATCTTTTAACTGCCCCTATGTCAAGGTGATTTTTTTCCTGCTCAGTTAGAAAAGAGACAAAAAGGCAAACACAAATTTCCCTCATGTTCCTTGATACTTTCTTTTTTAATATGTTAAACTGAAAAATGTGGATTGCTTGCTGTTCTTGTCAATAAACACTTCTCTTAGAATACCACTTTGAGGTTAGGAAAAC